ATCGATTAACTAACTAGTCGATTAGTCAGTTAATCGATTAATCGTCGACAATCGATTAGTTGTCTAATAAAATTATCGATTAATCGATTAATTAATCGATTAATCGATTTTCGATTTGGAACACTACCGTAGACTCGGCGTAAACCTCCCCCCTAACAGCTAACGTGACTAACACTTAACATCCCAATTGGATAAAAATCACGAGAGGGGGAAAAGGTACATTTTTGCCATGATTGATCCACCATGTCAGTTTCTAATATAGTAATGGTAATTTTAATGCCTCCATACCGGTTTTGACAGTATCTTTTCGGGGTCAAATCGTCGGATCGCATTACTATTTTAGGGTATTTTCCGTGAAACACAGTAAATCATCCGAAAAGTTAATATGATGAATATAGTCCGGTGTTATCGTTATCTGTAACGTTAGAGTCTCTCGCAAAGATAACCAAAGTATAAATTCTGCGAAAATGTCCAATTTACGAGTTTCTTCTCACCCCCTAGTTGCGCACAAAATTTCAATTCTTCGTAATAAAAACACTAAGTCAAAGCAAGTTCGTGAACTTATGCGCGAAATTGGACAACTTCTTGGTTATGAAGCTACTGCCGATTTACCTATAAAGTCTACGAGTACCGTAAGTAATTTATCGTTTGTTTTTATGCACTCTATTGGAATACTGCAAGTTCAAGTCTCACCTCAAAAATTTGCGAAATAATTAAGAACCTATCATATTTTTTTTTATACAAAACATATTTCCACAGTTGGAAAGTCCTTTAGCACCTTATGCAGGGACTGAATTAGCCACTACAATCGGACTGGTACCTATCTTGAGATCAGGTCTTACTTTTGTTGATGGTTAGAATTATCCATTTATGGTTTAAATTTCATTTTCTATTATGTCAAAATTAATTGATTCCATATAATGTTATTTAAAATAGTTCTTCAGGAAATGATTCCAACAGCTAGAGTCTTGCATCTCGGGATTTTCAGGGAAAGGGTAATGTTCAATCATATGAAAAGCATCCTAAAAACACGATTTTGATCTTATTTTCTACGTATAGATATCACTCCAACCCGTAGAATATTATAATAAGCTGCCTTCAGAACCCAATGTTGATCAGGTTTTAGTTTTAGAACCAATGATAGCTACAGGAGGAACTGCTGTCGCCGCTACCAGTATACTGAAAGATTGGGGTATTAAATCGAAAATCAAATTTATTACCATATGTGCATCACGTCAGGTAATTTACTAAATTAATTGTATTTATTCATAAATTTTTTGTTAATTTTACTTTTTATTTTACTTCTTTTGTTACAGGGTCTTGATAATTTAATGAAACACCATCCAGATGTTGAAATTTTTGTTGGTGTAATTGATGATGTTTTAGATGACCACGGGTAATTTTAAATTCTAAATTTTATTATAATCCACATTTGAAATCAATATTAATTCTTTTTTTTTTATAAAAATCAAAGCTACGTTGTACCTGGCCTAGGTGTGTTATCTATTCTTTCTATTATTTCTCTTCACTGTAAATGAATACGTTCGAAAAATTATAAACTGATTAATATCCAATTGTTTGTAGGCGATGCCGGGGATAGATTATATGATACTCCTCATTTAAATTAAGTTATAATTAAACCGATTGATACTAGTTATTAATAATATTATTGACATGTTTGTCATAATATTTGTGTTTTTACATAGTTTCTTTTTCTTTAATACATGTTACTAATATGTAGATTTTCGATTTGTTCAGAATATTTACATGTTCGATATTTATTATATTAATATGTAATATAAGACAAGTTTGTACAGACATTTTAATGCTGATTTTGTCTCAACTATGTACTGTGTATGAAAGATTTGTTGCGGATTATTTTTTTGAACTTCTGATAATACCAATGCTACTTGTTTAATCAACATTCCCTTTTTTTTTTCCAAAGAATCTCAGTAAAAGTATTGTTAATGATTAAAAGCATATCAATTGAAACTTACGTGTCGGAATATTATTATTTAATGGAATTTTCTGTTCATTAAATAATTGTACTCGTACCCTTCCAGGGTTACCCCAATTTCTGGGATGCGTTTTATGTGGCTTTTAATAAACAATATATATACACGCAATCCAAGAATAATAAATTTAAAGAATTATGAATAAACAACTTGAATTTAATGAAATTGCGAATTATACCTCAAAGACACAGGATAACCCCAAAATTTTTATGGATTCAGCGAGATCTTTTGCTAATGGATTCGGTACCGCAAGTTCTCTTACGACTCTTCTTCCTTCTTGATGTGATTTTGTTGAATCAAAATAAACAGGGTACAAAAATACCCAGCTTTATAAATAAGGTATATTCCATTTAAAATAGATGAATTTGATCAAAAATATTTTGCGAGATAATTTTTTTCAGCATACGTTTTATAAGCACTATCGTCAGTAGCAATTTTAGTGAAAGGCAGAACCTCAGGCAAATCAAAATCCGGAGGATCATCTTCCATGTTTGCTAATGAAAGGTTTGGAGATGGAAAAACTTCCTAACATTGGATTTTTTTGAATTTGTTTTTTTCCTTTTGCATTTTTTAAAGGTTTTCAATTTTGCCAAATCATTTTTTCTATATATGAATATGCAGGGTGTACTTCGTAACTAGATTTTGTCGACTTATACTATAAATAGTTTAAGTTATATGACTTTTTTGTAACTTGTAACAACAGCAGAGACAGTTAAATGATTGGCTACCCTGAGCCAACAATTTCGTAAATCGCGATATGAACTACCCATGTGACAAAAATTTTTATACTACTATTTGTGTAAGCGGTGATATATTATACCGTGATTTTTATTATGTATCACGCCGTACTCATCATCAAAATTTTATAATACTAGGTTTAGATCAACTAATTTTTTTATTTTAATTTTATTAGTTTTATTAAATTTTATTTATTAATTTATTGTTTTATTTATTTATAAGGTTATATAATTTAGTGCACCTGCGCTGTAATGCACCTATCCGATCAACCAATCAGATCGTAAGATCAGTTGTAACATGAAATTTGTGATGTTTTTAAAAAATCGCTTATAGCTTAAAATTTTGTCTATGAAACTACCTTTTGTATTTTAACAAAAAAAATTCTTACAAAATTTTAAATTAGAATTTTTTTGTTAAAATTTTTTACCTTAACTCTAACCTAAACCTCATCCTAATACTAAACTAATGAATTAATTATTGTTTTATACAATGCATAGATGCTAAAATATAAAATTTTTTATTATATTAATTTTAAAAAATAATTTTTTTATATTTTTAAATTAGTATTCAACTATTCTATTATCAGATATTTTATAAATTTTATTTAAACCTTTATTGTTATTTTTGTCTTCTTTGATATCTTCTTTAAATAAGTTTTTATCTAAATCTTTTGTTAAACTTTTTATTAAAGCATTAGTATTTTTTCTAATTTTATTTTGTAAATAATCTAAACAAATAAAACTGATTTTGTAAGCAATAATTATAGTAACCATGTTCATATACTAGAACATTACTATTAGATAAATTATAAGGTATATCACAATAAATTAAGTTATATAAGGCAAAAATACTAGGTTTTTTTACCTCTTGAAAGATGGCAATCTATAATTTTATAATCTAATACTGATAGTTTATATGTATTAATATTATTAAAAAAACTAATAATAAATAAGCTTATATTATATATACAATATATTTTAGTAAAAAGTTCTAAAAGATATATAGCATATTTTTAAAAAAGTATATACAATTGTTTTGATAAATAAAGATACTTTTTAAACTACACAAAGTGTTGTTAAAATTGTTGTTATAGCATTGTTAATAAGTAATATATATAGCAATTTATAATTGTTTACCTATTAAAGATTTAGAAATATATATGCTATCTAATAATACTATAAAATATTTTTACAGAAGAATCACTTAAAAAAGCAAGATAGTTAATAATAAAATTAAATATTAGATAATTAGTTTTTATTTAATAAAAAATATCTAAAAAAAAATATCAAAGATGTATATATACTTATAATTTTTTCTATCAAACTATAGTATAAAAAAATTATATGCAAATTTTCTCATAGGCTAGCTAGTTTTTTTTTTGATGATATATTATGTAAATATTTAAACCTAAATAAACTAAATTAAAAATTCTATATTTTTGCATATATATCAGCAAATTTTTAAAACTATAATATAGTATAACTTGTCAAAACTGATGTGCATAATAAATCAAATTTGTATTAGTTTTGACAGATTATTAGATTTGAAGGGTAAAATTACTATATTTAATTAAGAGATAGTGAATCAATTTTTTTAGCAGTTTTTACAAGTTATCAGTTTTGACAGTATTAGTTTTGACAGGTTATACTGTATTGTACAAAAATTATAATTAATATATAATATTATATAATAGTTTAAAAAAATATAATTTATTAAGAAAATTTGCAACTTTGTAATAATAAATAAGATTCAGCAGTGCATCTATCCCAACCCACCAACCTTTTAAGTTTCTTGGTTGCTAGTTTACTCTTAACAACAAACATACTCAACAAATCAAGCTTATCCAAGACAAAGCAATACAGCTAGCCAATATTGCTAATACCAAAAATATCACAGATAAACAAATCTCCTATATCATCAATAATATCATTATCTCTACTACTGAGTATTGTATTCAGAATATTGTTATCCCTCTCTCCACTTGTAACAAAATTCTCGGCAAATATTTAATTATTGCTAAACACAAATTTCATCTTTCTCGATCTACTCCTAATAGCACTATGCTTAATTATAATCTTTATAATATTCATAGTCTATGGAACATACAACTTCAATATCATATCAGCAATTTTCTTAACCATATCAATAACCCTTCTACTCTTGGTTTAACAACCCAAATCAGAATACAACAACTTCAAAACAACTTATGGTCTACTACTAGCATCTTCCATCACTCTAACTCTTTAATCGATGGTCCTAACAGACACACTACTATTTTTAAAATTATACAACTTTTCAAATCTCTAAATATCTCAATTTCTTCTAACTCTAATTTGTCATGGTCTCAACTGCCAACTGGTAGCAACTTACTCTTAAAAAACATTCTTTCCAAACACCCCAAATATCATATATTTAAACAACAACTTCGCCATAAAAATATTCTTTTTCTTGAACAACTATGCTCAGCTGACAACCAATTTTTACTTGACTAGTCACACTTATCTCCCAGATTACTTCATATTCCTAAGGGGAAAAAACCTGCTTGGTTCCTCTATCTTGAGGAGTTCATTTTATCTCACGCATCTAACTGCACTATCATACCCTCTTTCCAACCTACTAGGTATAATCTCTTTGCTTTTCAAACTAATCTTATAAGTAAATCCTCTAAACCTTGGATACTTACTTGTACTAACAATAAAATTATCATTAGACAAATCTGTAAAATTTTTCATTAATTAAACACAGTTTTTATCAACCATTGGCAACACAATATTACAACTTTACTCTTACCTTGCTACCCTCTCCCTTCTATTTCTTGCAAACCCTGCCCAGGCTGTAGCCTTAATTCTAACCATATTGCTAATTACTGCATATTGGAGGTGTCCTCTATTCTTTCTACCCAATTTTTGGGAAGAAAATCTAACAATCAACTTAAGCTTAATGCTAACTATATCAACCTTATTTTATCTGCCTTTATTAAAAACTTATCTCATATTTCTCCTTTACCATCTGTCAACATTCCTGACTCCCTTATACCTATACTTTTTTACAACAATAATGCCTCTAAAAATCTTACTCAAATTGCTCTGATTAACAACTTCTATCAATACTTCACATTTTATACAGATGGCTCTGTTAAAAACTTTGGCACTGACCAATGCACTATGAGCATCGGCTGGGCCCAAGTCTATAACAACACTGTAATTCATAACATCTTTGCTCAAATTATCAATTGGCCCTCATCTTATAAAGCTGAACTCTTTGCTATCTTATCTGCTATTTCAACTCTTCCTTGCAACTCCTTTGTTAATATTTATACAGACTTCCAATCTGTAATTTCTAAATATAACAAACTTATCTCAAATTATCACTTTTCTTCTAAATCTCTTAAGTTTAACTCTTGGCCTATTTGGCATATACTTCTTAATTTACTTAAAGTATATAATATTAAGTTAACACTCTATAAAGTTCAAGCCCATACTAACAACACCTTCAATAACCTAGCAGACTTGCTTGCCAATAATCATACTTCATCCCCTATTTTAACACTTAATTATTCTAATATATACAATCCCTACTTCTTTCTTGAATAGAAAAATTGTCCTATCGATAGCTCTGCCAGATACTTCATTAAAAAGATTTGTAGAGCTAAAACCATCGCAACATGGTCCTCTCAAAATCGCAATCAAGAATAGTCACACTTTTCTCACTATATTGATTGAAACTCTACTTGGCTCTACTTTAACAACAATCTCAAAAGCTCATCCAACTTTACCAATTTTAAACTCAATCACCTTAAATCTTTCAAAATCAAAATCTTGCTTAACAATTTACCTACACATTTCCACTATCACTCTATATTTCCCAATCTATTCTCATTCTCCAACTGCTTCCAATGCAATCTTCCTGACTTTCTATCTCACTAGTATACCTGTTCTAACTATAACCAACTAACTTAAATCATTAATACTTGTATTGACAAAACTGTTTCCAAATTCAATTTTAACCTTTCTTTACTTGAACTCAACTACCTGAAGCATACTATTTCCTCTTACCCATCCTTCTTCTCCCAACCTTCTTTACTCTACCCATACTCTCTCCAGTACATATGTCAAACTATTTCATCATGCAGAAAAAATAATGAATACTGTAATGCTTCATAATTTTTATTTAATATACTAATATAAATAGGAATTTCTTTACCAACACACCAAACTTGTACATGCTATTCCTGTATTATAGCTGTTAAATGGATGATCATGCAAGCAGCAACTTTAGCATTATTTGTTGGTTGTTGAATTATCAAACGTGTCTGAGGATAATCTACATCATATAGTTAATATAAACCTCTAACAAATGAATTAACAGTAGCTAATTCTTGCTCAATCAGTTTTACTATTTCTTGATCAAGCTTATGTTGATTAGCAACACAATTCTGTGCTTTAGTATTATAAACAAACCAATTTGTCAGATACTCTTTAGCATTAGCAGGATAAACTTGATGATAAGCGTGACCATTAATTGCAAAAGCATGTAGATGTGGTAAGTGAACTACACCACCTGTATAACCAAGAACCGTGAAAGAAAATAATGAATTGTATTGATGACTGTTATAACAAAAATTATTAGAGTCTGAATTATAAAGATTTTGTAAAGTAAGTAGCAAGGGAAGAAGAGGTGGAATAGTACGTCATAACATGTTATTATAGCAAAAATTTTTTGGTTCTGATGAAAGAAGCTGTGAACCGTATTCGGGACATAAACGTTTCTATATAGGATTGTAGATATTTATATGAAAGTTATTATACAAATTTGAATAATGTTTTCCACCAGTTTTGGCAATTGTTATCCCTTAAATTGTAACACAGGCAAATTTGCCTGTGTTTTTATTAAAAGTTTAGTTTTTTTAATAAAAACTTATATATTAATTTTAGCTATATATTTTCTAAGTAAAATATTTAATTTTAGATTTGTTTTA